CAATTTAATATTCCGTTTCTCGATTCGATACTTTTACTGCTTTCGGTATTATACATATAAAATACTAAAAAATAGCATTTTGATATTCTGTAACTTTCGATTCTCATACACGTTTTCGATTGAAAGTCAGACTGCTAGCCTAAGTAAAAAGAACTTACGTGGGAGGATTTTGATTAGGACCAAAACACCTTTTAGAATCGAAATCGATCGAAATTCCACCGAAACAACTAGAAAAATTATTTCTTAAAAAAATTTCAATTTAGTTTTAATTTCAACAACGAAATTAACAAAATGTTCTACTGTAAATTTTCTTGTTTAAAATGAAAATAAATTTGATATTAATATTATATTTAGTCTAATATATCCTTTTAGACGATTAAAATCATGTCTCTATCATTATTCTTTAATAATATCTTTTTATTATTTTTACTCATTTAATAGGATATCTAACAAAAAAAAAGTTGTATATCCATGAAACTTCATACATGAAATTAACCAAGTATGCTACTACATTAAAATGCAAAACAATATTAAAATAGACATGAAAAAATATTTTTCAAGAATCAAATTTTGATACAATTTCAACAACAAAATTAACAAAATATTCCATTACAAATTTCAGTATTCAAAATAATAAAAAAAATTGATATTAACATTATATTTCATTTGATATTTCTTTTTACACAACTAGAATAATGTTTCAATCTTTTTTTTCTTTTATAATATCTTTTTACTATTTTTACTCATTTATTTGGATATGTAACAAAAAAAAGTTGAATATATGCATGAAACTTTTTATTCAATATTATTTTAGAAAGTACCAAAAATATATTTATTTAAAGGTTGAATTTCGTAGTCATGTTTGAACTTGAATTTCATCAATCAAATTAACCACTGTATTATGGATTTTATTGTGTCAAAATGCAAAGAAATTTTAAAACAGACTAACAAAATATTTCTTCAAATATCAAATTTGATATCAACAACATCATATTTCATCTGAAAATTCCTATTACACAACTAAAATCATGTCTCAGTCATTTTATCTTTTATAATACCTTTTTATTATTTTTACTCATTTATTAGGATATATAAAAAAATTGAATATATCCATAAAACTTTTTATTGAAAATAAATTTAATATGAATATTATTTTTGTATTTTTTTTCCACAACTAAAATCATATTTCAATCATTATATTTTTTTACTAGTTTATTAAAATAAGTAATAAAACAAGTTTTAAATATCCATGAAATTTCTTATTCAATATTATTTTAGAATATACTAAAAAAATATATTTGAAAATTGAATTCCATAACCGAATTTTGACCTCGTATTTCATCTTGCGTCAATATCAAAAGAATTTTTATGAAGGACAAGGAAAAATATTTCTTCAAAATAATATTCCACTGCAGATTATTACTGTTTAAAACGACAAAAATAATAATAATATGACCATTATTTTTTTACCGATATTTTCTTTTCCATAACTAAAATCATATTTAAGTCATTTATATTTTATAATATTTTTTATTTTTAATAATTTATTAGGATAAGTAATTAGAAAAGTTTGATGTATCTATGAAATTTTTTTATTCGATATTATTTTAGAAAGAACTAGAAAAATACATTTTTTTTAAATTGAATTCAGGAGCTGGGACTTCAAACTAGATTTCATCATTGAAATTAATCAAGTGTATTATTATAGATTTCATTGTGTTAAAATGCTAAAAATTGATAAGATACTGGAAAAAATAATTCTTTAAAAATTGAGTTTTGCTCTAATTTCAATAACAAAATATTCCATTGTGGATTTTTCGATTTAAAATAAAAAAATAATATTAACATTATTCTTGTACTGATATTTCCTTCTTCACAACCAAAATTATGTTTAAGTGGTTTATCTTTTATAATATTGTTTTATTATTTTTACTAATCTATTAGGATAAGCTACAAACAAAAGGTTTATTTATCCTTACAATTTTTTATTCAATATTATTTTAGAAAATACTATAAAAACACTTCTTTAAAAATATTTCCTTTTCTACAACCAAACTTATATTTAAGTGATTTATCTTTGATAATATTTTTTTTATTTTTATGAATCTCTTAAGATAAGTTATAATAATAAAAAATTTATTTTTTTAATTTTTTTATTCAATATGATTTTAGAAATTACTAAAAAAACATACTTCTTTAAAAAATGAATTATAACAGGATTTAAACCAATATTATAACAAGGAAATTAACCAACTAAGCTACTGTAGATTTCATCATTTGAAAATGCAGGAATTTTTATATTTATATTATATTTTCACTGATATTTCATTTTTCACAACCAAAATTATATTTAACTCATTTATATTTTATAATACTTTCTATTATCTTCATTAATTTGTTAGGATGAGTAATGAGTGAAGTTTTATACATCCATAGAATTTTTTATTCATTATTTTAGAAATTACTAGAAAAAAACATTTTTTTACAAAATTGAATTCCAAACCCAAATTTCAATTACAAAATTAACCACATATGTCACAACAGATTTCATTATTTCAAAATAAAAAAATATATTAACGTTATTTTTCTATTGATATTTCCGTTTTCACAATTAAAATCATATTTAAATTATTTATATTTTATATTTTTATTACTATTAGAATAAATAAATAAAAAGTTTTATATATCCATAAAATTTTTTACCCAACATTATTTTAAAAGGTAGTAAAAAAAATATTTCTTCAAAAATTAAATTTTACCGTCAAGATTTAAATTCAAATTTCAACAATAAAATTAATCAGATGTGTTAGTGCGGGATTTATCTTTTCAAAATGAAAAGAAATTTTATATTTACAATAGTTTTTCTACTAATATATATTTTTAGTTGTTAATTTTAATTAAAAAATTATTTTAAAAAAATGAAAGTAGATTAATAATAAAGATGAATGATATAATATAATTATCGATGAAAGTGTTTATCTTATTAATAAAAAATGCTTTTTATAATTTCATTTTTTATTTTTAAAAAATTAAAACTTGTTATTTAAAAAAAAAAATTGTAATCAAACAACCTCCTATGATAATTGAAGAATTTGTTTTATATCTTTTATCAAGGAGTTGTTTTTGGATTTTTCAAACATTGAAATTAACTTACTATGTTATTGGGATGTCGTGATCTTAGTACAAAGAAATACATTTAATAAGTCGTCTTTAAATTGATATTTTTCATTTTGAAAATCTTCATTGATAATTTTTAACATTTTAAACCGTTATTTTGAAGAACAATTAAAAGACATAAATTTATTAAAAATATATTATATTAGTATTTTTCATTAAAAATTTAATAAATTCAGAGAAAATTCAAATCAAATCTGGTATAAGAAAAGTTTTGTCAAACTTAATAAAGATAAAAGATAAAGAATTTATTTTCTAAATATCAAAATAAAAATAAAAACTCAACATAACTAAAATCATATTTAAGTCATTTGTCATTTACGATCATTATTGAATTCATTTTATATGTGAGTTTATTTATTTTTGTTCAAAGTTTTAGAAAAATTATTTATTTATTAAAAGGATTTCCACAGTTCGGAGTTGAACTCACTTTTTACAAGAATGGGTTTTATAATTCATTGAATTTATTAATTAATTTGAAAAGTTTATAAGAAAAATTTATTAACAAAATGGATGAAGTTGAACCAGATTTCCATAACGAAACTATTATATCTTATTAACAAATTATTATCAATAAATAAATTGATATTCATCCAAAAGATAAAATATAACAACGTTGATATATCTCCAATATCCATAACAACTTTATTATATCTTTAATATAATTATAATAAAGATAAATTATTATATCATATCAGTTGTCGTAAAATAAGGATTTTAAAAATCTACATAATAACAACTCGGGTACACATGGCAAAACTTATTTTTGTGAATCATTCAAGCTTTTATTATCTCAACTTGAGCATCGTCTTTTACATGTGACCCTTCGTTATTTCTTCAACTACACTGCTTTGGCATGCAAAATTCAAAGCTCATATCACATCAATACCTCGTTCAAGATTTCGGTAAGAACAACATTCATTTTAATTGACATTTTCCTTTTCAGAAGCTTCATTTTATCACCTTTTTTAACCCTTAATTTTGAGAAACAAATAAAAGAAAATATAGATTTCGGTAACCATTGAAAGTGAAGACTCCTAAGGAGGGTCAAAGGGTAATAGCCCCATCATATTTTTTTCCCCGGCCGTGTGGCCTGTGACAACATAGGTGTGTCCTATCTAACAGGTTAGAGGACCTTGACCAAACATGCATTAACAATGTTATTGTCATGAAATTGTTTTAGTTTAATTAATGGTTTGCATTTAAATTCTGGATATATAGTTGTATTAAATAGTTAGATGGATAAATTTTGTCCTTCATAATGATACTACCAAAATTGGTTTTAGAAAACATACTAGGATGTTGAATTTCTGATTGTGATCTTTTCGTACATTCAATGATACCTACTAGGGAGAGAATATGAAGATAAATTATAGGCTTGGTATGTTATGCAAGATTGTTATTAAGAAATCATAAGAAGACAAGAATAGGGTCAGGATAAAAAGCAAAACATCATGAATTAAGTTGCTTAGAATAAACATTAACTTACTTTGACATTTCTGAAATGCAGCATTAATAAGGCCAACGCAGAAAGGGACAGAAGAGCAGAAAAACTCCCCCAAAAGCGATCCATTAAATTCTGGTAGACCTTTGAACTTTGAAGATTACTTTGAGGGATAACAACAAAGTTCCTCAAATATATATAATCCAAATTCCATCATTTTAGGAACAACAATCCCTACTCTACACATTCTCAAGTTCCCCTATCATTGTCTTGTCTTCTAACGAAACACACACCTTGTGTCATTGCCTTGTAAGTCTCTTAAGGTTTGTGTAGTGTGTCATACATGATGGATATTTCCTTTCCGAATGAGTTCTTCTGCTACATGAGTGCATGTAATTTCAGCCAAGAGATGTGTTTCTACAGTGCACCAACTAGTCCTCGCTGTCTCAAACTGAGGACACCCTTTGATTCTCAAACTGCCCCCACAACACCAAGGGAAACAGCGCATGAGGATGCAAACTTCAACGTGGATGAGTTTGAATTTGAAACTAGTCGCAGATTCAACGTTAGTGTCAGTGACTTGGACTCTGAGACAGAACAAAAGAATGAGAAGAACCCTTTTGGTGATTCATTCCAGACCATGGCATATGCTGATGAGCTTTTCTGTGATGGTAAAGTCTTGCCACTGATGCCACCTCTCAAGCTTCCTCCAAGGCTGCATTGGAATGGAAATAGTAGCATTATGAGCACTCGCAGATCAACACTGGCGTCTCCAAGGTCCCTGGGGTCGGTGTTTAGACATCGGTTTTCAAGGCATAGTTTGTGGAATGATGATTTTGATCCCTTCATGGTGGCTTTGCAGAAGGTCAGAGAAGAAAAGAGGGGGAAACCAAATGCAAGACATGGTTTCAGGAGGAGTAGATCACTTTCTCCATTCAGGGGTTTCAGCAACAAGTCTGACAAAAATGTGGGAGTATTCAAGTCAAGTCAACTTGAGTCACAATGTGGTGCGACAGCTCATCTAGTTTGTGAGCTTGATAAAAGGCCATTGAAGGAAGTACCAGGAAGAATAAATGTGTTACCTGAGCCCAAAGGGTTGGTGTTTGCAAGACAAGTGAGACTAGTGGGAATCAGAAATGATACCACCTTGGAGGAGGCATCAATCTTAAAGTGGACAAGGAATAAGAAGAGGGAATACATAAAGAAGTTTTTGTTTAGGACTGGTAACAGGGGAAAAACCAATGCTCATAAAAAGTTAGAAGATAAAATGATAGCACAGGAGAAACCACCTTTGGTGAGGAAACTTGACATGAAAGCTGTGACATCAACGGAACCAAAGCAATGGGATAGAGCTCCAAACACATGTGAGTTGACCAAAATGAGATTGGGTATGTCACAGGCCACTGCCAAGATTTTTTCCCTGCTTGGGTTATGAGGACGGAAAGTGAAGTGATCGAATCATGCATCGTCTCAGCAGAATATAGAAGTTTGCTTGAATGAGTGATGAAAATTATAGTTTAATTCTTTCTCTTGGTGTAATAGATGATGTGTCTACCATTTCATACTATATGGTAGCCATGCTATTAGAAATTGGTTATTTATATCCATTTTGTCTATAATTTTCCCCACCCGAATTTGCATATATAACAATCTTCTTATTCCCTTATTATAGTCCTTTTTTCTCCTTGCATCAAAAGGAATTTTGGGATAGCAAGACTCTGAATGGAGATTAGGTCCAACTGCCTATCACTGAGGCTACACACCTCAATCAAAAATTATAGCCAAAAGAAAAATCAATTAGCGTATAAAGAGAGCACTTTTTAAGCATATAGCTGATGGTACGGAAGTCATATTGTTATCTGATTTCATCGCTTACTAATTTGAGAATATCATATAGGTTTTAATGTTCTATATATTATGGAATGAATATTCTACACCATTAGTGCATAAATGAGTAATTTACATTGATTGAAATCACAGGCTAAACTTAACCATGAAAAATTTGTAATAATAAAAAGGGGGAAAGTAAATAGGATAGTCTCAAAACACTCATTTGGCTGAATGAGAATCCTATAACCCATTTTCTCTAATGTAGAAGAACCTGCCCAGCCGATGCTTGATAAGAATACTAGTGTTGACATAATGCTATGTTGAAAATTAAATCTGATTAATCCAAGATTTCAGGAGGCCAAATGCTTTTCCAAAGGGAAATTTCAGCCTCACTCTTAATCTTTCTGATTCCCCCATAAAAGCCATCTGCTTCATTTCCTTCTTCTCTATGATCTTTTCTACTGATAATTGTCTTCCTCCAACGCGAGTCCCGATTATATTGGTTGAACTCTAGCACCACCATGTCTGCGACCAACACATAATGCAGTGTCAAATAAACCACATTTGAATTCTAAGAAAAAAGACAGGAAATACACAAAGCCTAATGCCAGGACTCAAAAAATTGACATGTTCAGTTTCATTTGGGCGAATTTATAAATTTTCAATATTCCTGGAGAAAAGCATTTGATGGAATGATTCCGTGGTCCACAGCACCACACAGTCCACTCCAAAACCCCATAATAAAAATAGTCATGAACATCTGTAAAAACTGTCATCATGCTTTCACAAAGTGATTATGACAAGAGAGTTTATCACAAAAGTTTCGTCAGAAATATAACAGCCAAAACCAATGTGTAATCATGGCCAGGACATGAAGCTATACGTACTTGATTTATATACAGAGGAACAGGTTAATGTTTTGCATCATTATTCTCATATTGCATCTGTTATCTACGATTAAGGGAATGTTAAATGAAACATCAAATCGGGTAGCTAAGTAAAGGTTGTGGATTATTCTGGTCGTATCAGAAAATGGAAGTAAACTTTCGAAGCTTTTGGTGACCGTGGTATCCCCACATTACATAAGAGGAAAAGAGAACCTAGAAGAGAAACTAATTTAATTTTGTTTATTTTAACATAGTTGGCCATAAATGTAATCCACTGAGACACAAGTTATCAATGTGTTGGTGGAATTATGACATGAGGACCATGATATGTCTAGGGGACCAATCATATATCATAGCTGGTGGTCCAAGTTTTGGTATATTATCAGGAAAGCCTAAATTGTGGTATGGTCTACCAAAGTTATCTTTACATTTAAGTCATTATTTTCACCATTTAACCTCCACAATGAAAAACATAATAATGGTAAATAACAAAGCTTCAAAACATTTAATCCATAAACCAGTATACTTCAACCTTCACTTAATCCTTTTTCTCCAAAACTCTGTAGCATTACCTTTATCTCTCTCCAATTTTGTATATATATTCATTATTCAGTGGGATCCAAGAAAACATAATTCATCTAAATCCTTCAATCATACTTTCAATCAATCCTAACTCATATCCTTTTTACTTTGATACACTAGTCAGTTTACTCAGAAAATAGTTCAACTTGAAGGGAGGAACGAACATTGATTAAATGAATGATAAAAGCTAAAAGCTATAGCCAAGAAATTATAATGAATGATAGAACACATTCATTTAAAAGGGAAAGTTTTAACTCACCACTACTATGACAGCGGCAGTAATTTTCGTTCCCATCGCATACCTCCATGTGGCCTACAACACCATACCACCAACCTGCCATAAAAGGTGTATTTCATCAAGCTACTAATTCAAGAAAGGGTAATTATATGTAAATGATAACGCTTAATTAACATTAAGTAATTATTTTTGTCAGGACTCAAAATTGGATCCCACTGAACTCTTTCTGCTTGCTCCCCACCTCACAGTTTGTTTTCATCCTGGTTTTGATTTCTCTGTCCATGGCCATTCTTGTTTTATGTTTGCTTAAATAACTCTTTGGCCGATATGATACCTAACCCTTAACCATCTAAAGACTATAATAACAGTTAAACTAGAAGAACATGTTGAGTAAAGCAGCAAACCATAAGGAAATTCTTTGTTTCTTCTCCACTGAATCTCTATGTGATCGCCCGGATGCAAATCATGTAGACAATCAGAGATATGAAGATCATGTGGAGGAGTATCAACAGGGGGTGCTCTTAGCCTTTCCCATGGAATGCCATGCTCTACTGCAACTGCCCTTCTTCCATGTGGTGGATACCTGTAATCGACAATTAATCAATAATTAGGCCACTAGTAGATCTGTCCTCTTTTTCTTCCTTTTTCAATCATTTATTTTCCTTGTGGAAACTCTTCAAAACATGCGGAGAATTTTTCTTTCAATGAATGATGGGAACATACATATAACCACCACGAATCATGTTACCTGGCTTGGAAGGTGTCAGTTTGAGGATCATAGCTAAGCTCAGCATCATAGCATGATAACATAAATCCTACATGGCCATTCTGCAGGGGAAAATGTAACTTGTGAGAAAAACTTAATAATTTTGTATTCTATTTGACATAAAAACTAACTTGTTTCATTGTTGAGGGTAGCATGATAGAATACAAGTTTCCAAATGGAAAAGGCACAAAGGGTTCACAATAGTAGATACCTCCCGGTTATAGACCTGAGCAGGAAACCAGAAGTTGCCACTCTCAAGAGCAAGATACCATGTCATGAATGAATCACGAGGCAAATAACTTGACTGCTTGTTGGTATTATTTGTCTCCACCTTGGTTGTCATCCATGAAAAAGGCCAATGAAGGGACACAAGCCTCATCAAGCTGCTTTGCTTGGCAAGTCTAGGAGTTCCAACATTCCCTCTGGAAGCAACATGCCATTTCCACTCCCTATAAGCAGCTTCGCCAATAATTTTACCCCATTTCTCTTTCATGTGCCTCTCCCAGAGGTGATCACTAACACACCTCTCCCTTAAGGAACGGGAAACACCAGCCATTTGACAAAGTGGAGCTGGAGGGAGCTTTTCAAGAATGCATTCCAACACCAGGTCTGGCAAGTCCAGCACTGACATGTTTTGAGAGTCTTCAATACTCTCCACCTTGGAAGTAAGAGTCCTCTTCACTAGAGACATTCTCGTGGGAATTTGACAAGGAAAAGCAAGCCAAAAGCGGTTCCTAAACAACTTAGAGATGGACTTCACTGACAAGTCTTTGTAAGAAAAAGGAGAGATCAACCTCACCTCAGCAGCCCAGGATGGAAGTGGTTTGAGAGAGAGGACAGGCTTTAAAAACAGAAAGAAGGAGATGCAAGCGATAAAGTAAAGTAGCATTAGCACGTAAGATGTCTTTCACAGGTCAAGTTCGAGTTTGGCATATGTGATAACACAACCTTAATGCCAATTGTGCAACACCAGAGGCTAACAAGAGGAAAACCAAAACGACCTCGCTACTTGGCACAAATGAATGACACACCCTCCCTTCCTTGTTGGAAAGAAACACAAGAAGCAATTTGGAACCTTCAAAGAAAACACCTTTTAAAGATGGGGGTTTTATTGGTTCAATGAAAGCCCACCAAAACCCAATGGTGGGCCTCCTAGGCCGAAGTTAGATGACAAGAAATTAGGTAGACAACCACACGAATGAACAATGGAAATAAACTCACAGTGGCTTAATACTAACTCTCTCTCTTATTGGATTCCAATAAAGAGGAGAGAACAACACGACCGTGTAGTCAACCTAAACAGCTGTCATTCAACGAAGAATGAAGAATCTGTATACAGTGGTCCTTGTGAGGATGGGAACATCAACACAGCAAGAAATGGAGGTGGGGGCACCAAGATCTGATGGCAGTTTTATAACACCTAGAAATGGAATTGGAAAATGGAAAAGATGGAAGATGAGTCTATTCAATAAGAACCAAATATATATGTATATAATATATATGCAGAATCTCTATATCGTATTGGTAAGTGAATAAATCTTCTGGGAATATAATTGGTGTGTAGCTAGAATAAAATAGATCTAGCTAGTTGGGACTTATTCAGAAAGAGGCCCACACAACAGCCTCAAGATCCACAAAAACAATGGAACCAAGGGAAAGGACAACCCTTAGGATGGTGAATACCGAGAGAGAGAGAGAGAGATTGACAAAGAAGAGGATTAAAAGAGACTCTGGTGAAGAGGATAATGAAGATGAAGGGTGGTAGGGCCTCCCTTCACTCCACCAAATTCTTCACCACACCTCAATTATTATCCTCTCCTCTGCCAATGCAATCACACAACTCTCTCTCTCTTTTTATTTATTTTTTCCTGTTGTTGTTCTTGTTGTGTGTGGGGGGTAATATAGAGAACAATTGGTGGACAATGAATGGAAAAAGAGTTATTTACGCAAAATAATGAAATGGGAGGCTGAGGTTGCGTTAGAGTTTGTGGATGTGAAACACATCTACTCTTAACACAGCCATGTCATCAGCAATGGCTATTCCTTCATCATGCAATCATCCACGGATTCCCATAAAAATATGATAATTAAAACCATTTTTAATTTGTTTCCCATTCCCTCTATGAATAGTACTATTTTATTCATCTCTGCAAAATCTTGTACGCTTTGTGTTTCTGTTGTTCCAAGTTCTAGTTGGAGGCAAATGTGTCTGACTAGAAAAGGCAACTACATTGGATAACGTATATAGGACAAGATTCGTTAATATTAAAGTTGGAGATTGCATTGCTGCTAAGGATTCCGATCCTCTGCACCTACGCCCACCTTAACAAACATGTTCTCCCTCGTAAAGATCAATTATTGGACGTTTGCTTTTTTCTCAATTACTCACATCATCACCACTTTCACTTTTTCAAACGCAAGATAACAAACATATATCTACACACTATTCATGCACATTCATAAAATTAATTGAATAATCTCAAACTTCACTAATTAACACAAAACTTATTCAATTAATTTTATAGGAAGAACATGGAGTGTATCTCCTTCCCCAAGTTATTATTTTAAATAAAAATAGAATATTTATATTTAAAAAAAAAAAAAAGAATATTCAATTATTGGTGGTCTCACTTTCAAAGTTTGGTGATATTGATATTGTGATTGGTGTTTTGGGTGGTCCATCACCTCACCATATCCCATAACACAATCCTTTCATTTTTCTTCGTATTCATGAACATGATGATGCAATGCAACCATCTATGTATCTATCCACTTGGTTTTATGCCGAAAACGACACCCATCTTTGTAAATTACACCCACAACACAACTTGCCCTCGTAATTAACCATTTTCACACCCCCTCAACGCATCATCATTCACTAATCTTCACAAAATAAACCACCACTCTCTTCTATTTTAAAAGTTAACCCTATTCAGAATTAATATACAACTCTTGAAATCACTTTACTTGGTTTTATGCAAGCTGTTGAAGTATAAAATATTTTGAGTATCCTAAATTCTTATAATATAAACAATCACAAGCATACGTCACTACTATGATTCTCCAAAGCACGAGGAGCATTTCAGAATTACATGCCACACTCATATCTTCTAAATATATCATTAGATACACCCCAATTAATGAACAACCATATACAATATTATTCGTTTATTATTTTTACATTATAAAATATTATGATCATGTCATTGAAATATATTTTACTGTTGACGTGTATCTGTGATATTCCTCCTTCAATAATATGGTTTTTATGTAGAGCAACAATAATTATAATTGCGAAAAAAAAAAAACGAAAACTTTCTTAAGTTTATTAACACAAGGTATGATTATTAGCTACACTAGGTAATAGGTATAGGTGTAGGTTTAGCCATAGCTATGATTTTAAGCATCACTCACTACTTTGTTTTGGGTCCATGGTGGAGATAATTCAATAGTTTGTTTTTTTTTCCTTTTTTTCTTTTAAAATTCTAAATAATTATTCTTTAGGCTTTGAATATTCGATGATTTCCACTAGCTCTCAAAATACCTTATAGAAATTGAGAGTTGAGAGACATTTCCACAAATATTAAGATATTCAATTATTTTAAATATATAACTTTCTTTTTACTTGTTTAATCTTGACACTATTTTTTCCCTTATATTTAGTGTGGAATAAATTTTGTAGCAAAGGAAAATCAAATGGGTGGAATTGGTTCATGATTGCACTAACACAAGTTCACTTCATTATTTTCATGGAACATAAGTACTATTAATTCAAGGGATTCCAGAAATGTCAAACACTTGAACATAGGTGACGTTGTTGTGTTTCCTCCATTTTTGGCTGTGATGAAAGCTTAAAAAGCACTGAAATGAATGTAGTTTGCGTCCTTTGAGTGTGGTAAGGTCAAGAATTGGGGATGGATTGAGAGTGAAGTCTTTTTGTGTGGAATTGAATTAATTGCAATGGTGGATAAGGGCACCCTAAGAGTTTGACACATTAAAAAAGCAACCTTTTCTTTGGTGTGTGAAGTGGGCAACGTGGCTCAAGGAAAACATTGTTAGAAAATTGCCCTACAATGGGTGCCATCACTTAGCACAAAAGTGCTTCTCTTGGGATAGGTAGCCACATAATGTTTGGCAATTTTCTTTGGTTTTGTTTTCATTGATTCATTATGATGATGAGGAGTGAAATATAAAGTATGTGTACATGTATGTTGATTTAAGCATATCCTCTTTGGCTAAATTACATTGATATTTCCACTAAGGGATACAATGTTTTGGTAGTTGTCCCCTAAAGTTTCAACATAGCATCCATCAAACCCCACCATACATGCCCCACATATTTGTCATATAAAATTATCTCTTTCACTATCTATGAATGTGAAGTATATATGCACCACATTTCTAGATGATTCTTATTGACACTTTTAGTTGGTCCCTCTCACTTTTTTTTCTATTTTTTTTTTCCCTTTTCAATTCACCACTGTATTCCAGGCCTCCTAGGTCCAATTTTATGCAAATAAAATCCAGTAACGGAAGAGTTTGGGCTGGGGTGAAATTGGGCTTCAACTTGAAGTTTCGAGATCCAAAAGGATTGCTCATGTATAAGAAAAATGCTTCCGAAATTTATTTTAATTTAATAATAATAATAACTATGCAGGTGCAGTGCATTTTTATTATTGTTTTTTATATTAATTTATTAAAATTTTAAATATATATACTCATTTTAAACTATAAATATTTTGTTGTAAAATTATAAATTTTTTAAAATAATAAATAAATATGAAACAGAATTTTAAGAAGAAAAAGTTGAACAAGAACGTATAATCGAGGGAGTAAAAAAATGTTATTTTTTAATTATTTTATATTTAAGAAAAAAATTAAAAAAATATGATTAAAAGAAATAAATAAAACAAGATATAATACAAATATCAATTATTATTTTTTTCTACGTGAGCAATTCGAAACAAAATATATATATATATAATTATTTTTTACGAAACCAACTCTCACCCTTTTTGATAAAGTTTTTAGGAGTATCTCTTCAATGTGTTTTTTTTAAAAAAAAAAAAAAACTTCTTATCCATTTCAATTTTTCAATAACTTGAGTTCAATGAGATAACGAAGTTTATAACTTAAATGATAATACTAATATACTTTTAAGGATTAAAATAATAATAATAATATAATTAAGATGAAGAACTAAAGTCACGATATTTATATATATAAATTCGTAATATTGTATATTTTAAAAACTGTTGTAGTTTGTCCATGCTTATTAAGTGTAAAATATAATAGTTTTTGTATATTTTATAATGTTTTTAAAGATAAACAATATCAATATTAATATATGATCATATTATATAAAATATTATTTATTAAACCAAGAACTATATTATTTATGTATAATTATTAAATTAAAAAAACACATTATATATATAAAATATATATTTTTTCTACCAAATTTAGACCACACAAAATTTTGTTCTTAAAATAAATACAACTTTTTGAATCTGCACTCCACAAAATTAACTTCGTGTAAAACCAGATCAGTGGCACAAATTAGGATAAAAGTCCATTCTTTTGGAGTTTCTTTGTTGTTAAATAATTATATAACTTATAATTTTATTGAATTAAAACAAACTTATGCAAATTTTAATCCTTCATTAAATTATACAAATTTATTTAAAAGTTTAGAGAAACTGTAGGATCATATTAACGACATGAGAAAGAATGGATTTATATTTTATACGATTAAATATGTCTTTATACTTCATCTAAGTTTCATCATTTTCACCAAAAGTAATGTATATATGGATTTAAAAAAAAAAAAACATAAACGTAACATTCAAAATATTTAGTTATAAATTCATATTAAAACAAAATATATTG